ATATTAGGTACGTTATTTATGTATCACTTTTCCCCTGTTTAACAGACTGCATAGATTGCTTATTTTGTTTACTGACAGAATTAATTTGCGATTTAGAAACAGACAAAGCTTATCAAAACAAATAGCTTACTTGTTCTGATGTCGACTAAGCCAAGACTGTGCTCGACAGTCTGGGGAATAGTTTATAATAGCATCTGTGGAAAATAATTTCTTACAGTGACCATGGTGCATTCATGTTTTACGTGATCAAAAACGAGATAATTCTGAGGAATGCGAATTTCACCTACATTATTTTCACTAGAGTAGCCTACACAACGAGGAAAGATTACATCAAATACAACTCATGGCCATGAGATTGGTGGAGACAAACCGTGTTTGACCACTGGGAGATTGTGACTGTGGGATGCTTACCAACGCAACGTAACTCAGGGTTAGTAAACCCTCGAGTAAACTTGTAGTGGCATTGGACAATAGCCACACAATCCACAAAGCTGTGAACACGAGACTACTCAGAAAATAGATATTCAATATTTAACGCGGAGAAATACCTAACGATGGAGAAGGCGCGAACAATGAATTGAATGGACTGGAGTTGATCGTATGGCATGGCTCGGCCATGCAGGCGTGGTCCATCTCAATGTTACTTTATATCTTCTATTCATATTAAATATATTGTTCTTTCTCTAGCCTAACCTTGTTCTACATCATGTATTGGTAATTGATACGATACAGTGAGTTGGTGTAGTCGATGATGTGACTTCCACGTAAGATCTTATAGATTAGGCAGTTATATCATGACAAATCTACAATTTTAGGATTAGGTCTATTATTAGAGCAGTACTAATATCATAGTAGACCATAATTCTACATTGGTGAGCCCAACTAAAGAGACGCAACCCATTACTGTTAATCCTTATTTCCACTTTAACCTTCTCAATCGGTTTATATTTTTGTAAACCCAGTATTCGTATAGTCCTTTGAATAATGGTCACATATATTATCGTAATGTTGTATCTATTAGTTCACATAACTTACTAGCTCAATCGATAATAAAAGTTGATCATCTATATCAACTAATTAGCTTTGATGGTTCGTTAACATGCTTTAATAGCATTTACATGCTTCAGCGACATAGACTTGTTCAAACATCAAGCTCTAGCAAATATGACCTGTAAATAGCGTAAATATACATTGACTAACAATGCAATCAAGGACTAAATAGTTATCTGGATCTAATTCTCAGTGTTCCTTCACTTAACATCTCATCCTGTTTTAAACTATGCGCTATCCTGTAATATCTTTTCTTCCGACCACTGCCTGCCTAATTTCATATTCTCGAGTTCCATTGCCAAACAACAAGGATGACACTTCTCCAAAAAAATACGGTGAGTTCCAGCTATAAGTTTTCTGCAATTATAAGTACATTTTAGATGGCTCATTCAATGGCACACACAATTATCTGGATTCATTCAGTTGTTCTGATCAGAGCGAGTCCCAAAAACCTCAACAGCATCAAGCACCCTAGAAGTGATTGCCATACTGCATGTTTTATTCTGGATGCTTTTGGATCATTACTACTCCTCACGAATGGCGTTATATATGTCGTCCACTGAATAATCTAATTTTCAAAAATAATCCAGGCGAGTTCAACTATTTTACTGGATGAGTTTTTGTACTTAACATGTATATGTTTTCCGGTTGCTTTTGCCATATATTTGTAAGTGTCCCTAGGCTAAATGCAGTAACTTCTTATGGAATGTTTATAACGCGTCATATTCCTGCCTGAAGTTTCACAAGCAGTCTTAACTTTAAAATTATTTTCTGGTCATGTTCATTATTTTTAAATTGTCATATACGTCAACAACCTGCATGTTAACCTGGCCCATACATACGTTGCACTATATCTTCATGTCTTCTAAATTTAGAAATCATCTGAATCGCCTTTAACATTTATCAATAAACCCATCATAGTCGTTGTTGCTAATCGTATTTGGGTTTATGGATTGGTTTATCATATTAGCAGCCTAAAATGCGAACATAGTTTAGATAATAAGATTAAAAATTTAGGTACTATCAACTGCACTAGTAAAATAACTAAATCCTCAGGTAGCTGTTGGCTAAACAAACGTTTAAAATCAAAACTCCGTAGCCTACTAGAATTAACACTAAACGAATATTTCTGAATTGAAATTTATAATTAAATTAGGCGTCTCGGATTCTTTAACGTTATAAATTTCTGATAATTTCGAATCACCTAAAGCAACAATACCTATTTTTCCACTGACTAATCCTCAATCAACACTATAACTAGTTAAATTAATAGTTTCAGGATATCGTCATAAAGCATTGTCATGACTTGACAATCACGTAATATGATTGATAAAATTAATGAAACTATTAACAAAATCGGTCAGCAACTTGACTTATAATTATCACTAGTGTTGTTTTTCGTTCATCTTCATTCACTACAGATGATTACAGTATGTTTCTCTATCAGTTGCTCATTCAGTAAATATCTCAAAACCTTGTCAGTCTAATTGATGGTTTAGCGACACAATCATGCATGCAAATAATCAGTATAAGCAGTCGAGCAAATCTCCTGCAAACTGAAAACATCAATGTCGAATTTACCCCAACACTGACTAAGGTTCAAGCCATTATCATAGACATGAGTTGGGAGTGTACTCCCCTGGTTACAACTTATGTTCTCCCTGATAATCACATGAGCATCACTCACTATTAATCATCTTGTAAAAACTTATTTAGCTAAATACATCTTGCAGCACCACATCACTTCGTAATATGACACAGGCCTAACTGATTTTAATAACTTATAACCACTATATCTCAATTAAATCGTATTCCGCCTTATGATAAACTGCATACTTGCAACTAACTTGTATGCCCAATCAGCCGCAAGTATAAATATAAATAAATAGTCTGCCGCAGATCAGAACATTGAGTCTAGAGCATGTCTCTTACGAATACACTCATGTTTAACGATTTGTTCCTAGCTATCTGTCCAAAATTCATATAATTATCACTCATGTATTTAAATTTTGTTTTGATAACCATTCATGTGTATTAGTAGTATTACTAAATTCTATCACGGTCAAGTAAAAATGAGGTTGAGAAAATCTCCCCGTAACTAAATAAACCGTATCAAACTAACTGGAACACTAGTTGGAATTCTTCTCCACGGTATACTTTTGTTCCTTCAGTTAGCCTACTAATACAGATGCAATTGGAATTCAACTCATATGGACAACTTACCGGCATAATCGTTATTTGATTTCATAATTTAAACCAAAACTAATACCAATATTAACATTTCTACAATATTCATCACTTTAATATTTCTAAACACAAAATACTTACTACCTATACGTTAAGTTATTAACCAACGGCTATTAACACGCATCGTTTTATTATTATTATTGTAACCCCATTTTTTATAGCTCAAATAATCTTCACCCAAATTTTCATTTCAAGCTTGTTAAGCATGAAGGCAGATATTTTAAAATTATTACATGTATTTCCCGACCAGATGCTGCCGCTTCTTTTTGATTTATCTTTCAGCTTACCAATACCCGGAGGATTCTTATTATCCTTGGTAACCTCCGGCGCGCGACGATCCCATCCAATTTGGTATCGAACCAACATCACGTTGATTCTGGTGGGAGAGTAGTGTAGTGGCATTGGACAATAGCCACACAATCCACAAAGCTGTGAACACGAGACTACTCAGAAAATAGATATTCAATATTTAACGCGGAGAAATACCTAACGATGGAGAAGGCGCGAACAATGAATTGAATGGACTGGAGTTGATCGATGGCATGGCTCGGCCATGCAGGCGTGGTCCATCTCAATGTTACTTATATCTTCTATTCATATTAAATATATTGTTCTTTCTCTAGCCTAACCTTGTTCTACATCATGTATTGGTAATTGATACGATACAGTGAGTTGGTGTAGTCGATGGTGTGACTTCCACGTAAGATCTTATAGATTAGGCAGTTATATCATGACAAATCTACAAATTTAGGATTAGGTCTATTATTAGAGCAGTACTAATATCATAGTAGACCATAATTCTACAAACTCTCACCCCTTCTCATTGACAGCTGACCCCATTTATGGTGATTTGCCAGACAAAGTGATCACGCTGCGTGTTCGTATCACGTCGAGCTCACCAATGAAGATGGCACAGATATTCAGTGTTTGACAACGCTTTTAACAGTAACACCTTCTGATCTAATCTGGCTAGCGGTTGCGGTAGATGTTGAGCACGGCGTTTCCACACGTGATCTGGTGCGGATGCATGACCGAGCGCCTTAAGCTAGGTGAGTCCATTAAAACATGTGGTCAGCATCCAATGTCTAAAACTTACAGAGCTATTTATTTTGGGGAATTATTTACCGCTACAAGGGTATAGCTTTAAGAGGATACTTGGCAAACACGCGCTCAGCTATGGATTTCCATCTCCCTCTTGGAACAGCTGTGTGTGATGCATGACTTATGATTCATTACCGTTTAAATTAACGCATGTCAGAAACTAATTCTTATCCCTCTTGCTATCAACCTCATCACACCTCTTATTCCTTCAGTTCCACCTTCTTATACGCTGACGATAACGTAAATTATTATTCATTCTTGGAAGAGTCGTCTTTCTCAACACTCGATTTATCATCTCACTATTTTCCACATTGCGACCAATGACCCCTCTGCTTGGTAATGCGATAATTTATGGAATCCAGAAACCTCACTGTCCTGTGACAAGTCAGATTACAAGATATACAAAGTCACAAATACCTGCAAGTGACTGAAATTAGTTCAATAAGTTGTTAGACTACCACCAACTAGACATAACAAAGTACATCGAATTTTACTGAAATAACAAGAAGAGAACTCAAAGGAGTCAATCGAATAATACAAATTCACAGTTAAGATATCGGATATTGGAAGCACTGGTTTTAGTCCGGAATATGAAGGTATGCGTTACATTCTATTACTATGTAGTTTTGCTTATCAAACGAGTTTATCTCCTTGAAAAAGGACATGTGTTCTTAATTCCACATGTAAAGCAACATTAGGTATAATGAATTGCCTTCCATTAATTTTTATGTTGTAAATTTACCAATCAGTGCGATTAATTAAATGTTGGTTGGAATCAGGTTGTACCATGATATTCAGTGAGGTATCCGGGTAATTTCCTAAAATCATCACGTTTGTTAAAAAAAGTAAGGACCATCGGTAATTTATATTACCGAAAAGCCTGTTTTTCCGTGTGTACTGTTGTTAATCGTTTTAGATTTTGTTTCCGCCAGTTTTTATGTGAGATAAGCTACGGATACTTTTTCGAGCGAGGTTTGTGTGACATTGAAACTGTCCACTTGCTCATTAAGGTTAGTAAACGGTTTACATTAGTGCGAGGGACTAAGGCTTAGACCTACTGCTGGAAGTTAGCGCTAGGAATTAGAATTGGGATTATCATCACTAACTGACATGGGCTGTAATCACAAAATGTTGTTTAGCCATTTGGATAAATAAATTCTGCGTCGTAATTCAAGACCTGATATCTTGAATCTTATATGTCAGTCTACGAATTATAGTTTCGCTAATTTTTATTCTGTTGGCCATCTCATTAGCTAATAATTCTGTAACATGCATTCTTCCTCATTATAATTGGTCATAACCACATTAAACATGACTAAGATGTTATTATCTTTTTGACGCTGTGAGAAGCACTTCTTTCTTGTAAATCATTCTTCAACTCATTTTAGAGCTACTGTGTTGTTCCACTACAGATGTTTGTCAGTATTAAACTCTGAATAGAGTATAAGCTGTTTATCATCGTGTTTTTGAATGTCGTGCAAAATACGAAAGGCCACTGCCATTGGTTCGTTTCGCCTGTTCGGAGAGTGTGATTTCATCACTTACCCTTTTCAGCTAACAATCAAAATACGTAGCAGTCTAGCTTGACACTATCTTAGCTGAGTGTTTCAGTGTTTATTACTGTGTTGGTCAGTATTCTTATTTATAAACCATTTCCTGAAACGATCATAAGAATTTGGCAGTTTGAGCGTTGTCTTTTGTTGTTCAAACCCCTTTAAAGTCACTTTCTCTGGTAGATATCAGTCTATCATCCATGATAAATTCTGTAATATTAGTCAGTACATGTTTTTATTTATTATTTGTTTTAACACATAGATATTGGTACAAGGAGGCACCAAATACATATGTGCCACACAGACCTCATATGATATGTGTGAAGGCTGTGATACTGCCCGGGTGCCCAAACCAGAGCATGTGGTTTTCTTAGGGGGCCACTCCCCGAGCCTTCGACCTGAAGGTCTGATCCACAAGACAGTGGGGCAACGTCATGAGATGCAGTCCCATGGAAGCCGGTGACCAACGATTGGTTATACGCCATTTGTTCCTTCAGGATACTGGAGCCCATATACACGAATGGTTTGCAATCAGGGTTTTCCAAATCCCCTAGGTGGACTCTCCATGTCCACCAACCCGGTTAAAGCGCGGGACATTCGCTATTCATTCAAATATTTCCCTTTATGAATTTAAATAAAGCAAGAACAAGTATTGATGCAGAATAGTATGAATCCAGAATATTTCGAGGTTTCTCGTCAGCTGCTTACAACCAAATATGTAATAGAATTTTACATTGAGATAAGAAATAGTGTAAAACAATTAACATAAATGAATGTAAATGATTGGAATGACAAAGGTCTATAATAATAACTAAATATATATGTGCAAGAAAAGGTCAGAGGTTAATTAATGTTAGAATTAAGAAAAAAATTAAGGATGGGTGGTGTAATGGTTATAAATTATGTGATAATTTTGGAGATAGTGAAGGATTCATGGAATTGAGCGGTGATAAAATAGGTTACGTAATAACTGAATGGAATTTGAAAAGCTAACAAAATTTCAGAGGATGAATGGTCGGAAATGTGTGAATGAAAAGTTGGTTTACGAGTTCGGTAATGGGGAAGGAGGGGAATATAACACAAAATAAATGTTTTAAAAATAATTAAGATTACGCAAATAACCCACTAATAAAGTAAAAATAAAATGGATTACCAGGGTAATGATAAATTAACTACTGTATCTTTCTGAATACATAAATCCGGTTTAGGTTTTCTTATCGCGATCGCTTCGGCAAAACGGAGAGGAATCGTACTTTTTTGTCTACTGATAATTTTAAAAGCGTGCGGAATATTGATGGTATGTCCGGTTTCAAGTAAATGCCGAGCTATTGCACTATTGAGAGCCCTAGTCACTTTCAGGCTCAAGTTTTTTGGGACATGCTCAGAAACGCGAACATGTACCCTTCTCTCAGTTCTCCCAATGTATGTGCTGTGGCACGTACATGTGAATTGGTAAATGCAATTATAGCTACCGAGAAAAGAGGACTTGTCGATTTTAGTTTGTTTGAGAGAGCAGTTCGTTTCCCATAACGTCGTCAGTTTAGCTGCTGGATAGACCACCTTCAATGCGGAATTTATTCTGTGATTGACTATTTTGGTGACTTCATCTCTTTTGAAGCGCAAGTATAGGAAGCAGTTTTTCTTTTCAACTGTATCATGCTTAACCGGAGGGTTGGTATTTGCATATTTGTGGATGAATTTCTCCGGATATGCATTTTCACGTAGGCAGTTGGTCATTATAGCAATTTCTTCTTCAAGACATTCCTTTGAATAGATTTTGCGTGCGCGATCAAAAAGGTTTCGTACAATACCTTTTTATAACATATAGGACAGAAGCTTTCATAATTGAGATAAACTCCACTCCAGGTATTTTTATGATGAATGTGTCTTTGTAATGTACCATCTGATGTTCGTCTAATTCCAATATCTAGGAGATGGAATTTATCGTCAACCTCATGTTCCATAGTAAATTTTATATCTTTGTGTGCTTTATTAAACAGACAGAGTAAGTTGGTGGAGTGTTTGTGATTGTTGTAGACAAGGAACGTGTCATCAATATATCTACAATAGAGTGTGGTACTATCGATTGCGTGCTTAAGTTTCTTTTGTTCCAGGTGTCCCATAAATACGTCGGCCAGAATTGGGCCCAAAGGGCTGCCCATTGCTACGCTATCAATCTGGGGGTATAGAACATTGCTGAATTTAAATTGTATGTTTTTTGTGCACAAAAACAGGAGCTGTTTAAATTCATGGATTGGTAAAGGCAGGATTTCCGGATATTCACATATGATCTCTGCCGTTTCTTCCAAGGGGATATTTGTGAAGAGCGATGAGACGTCAAATGAGACTATGAATTTGTCAGAAACATTAAGGTTACCAAGTTTTTGTACAAATTCAAAGCTACCTTTCAAACTGTAGGTTGCTAGTTTCTTGCGGATTGGTTCTAAGCATCTAGTCAGCCAGCGGGCAAGTTTATGAAAGGGTGATTTGGTCATAGATAATATTGGTCTTATCGGGATGTCGGGTTTATGTATTTTGGGTAGGCCATATAATTGTGGTAATTGTGACCCTTTTGGTTTGAGTTCGTTATATGTATGATAATCTATTAGATTTTTCTTAAAGTTCTCCCAACTTTTTTAAGAGACGCTTCTCTGTCGCATCTGTTAAGTCTTTCTGGGTATTATCGATGATGAATCTAATGGAGTCATTTAAAATGGACATTACTTTATTAATATATTCATCTCTGTTGAGATTGACTACACCGGAACCCTTATTCGGACGAAGTAGCATTATTGTTTCGTCTTTATTAAGTTTTCCCAATGCTTGATGGTGATATTTAGTGAACACCTTCGATTGTGGGATTGGTGTCGTAACGTACTGGTTTGTAATATCCACTAATTTGGATTTAAACCAACTTTGCTTTACGTCGTTCATGGGTTTGAGGTCTGACAACTGTTGATATAAATATTCAAACTGCGTCTCTGTGTTTATTCTGTCATATTTTTTCGGGATATGAAATTTGAATCCAAGGGAGAGTGCCTCAGTTTCAATTCGGCTTAGTTTTTCACTCGATAAATTCTGTATGTATTTTCCTGGATTAGTAAGAAATGCTACATGGTTTAATACGACATACAATATTTAAATCAATAACAATTTTCATTCGCGATGTTCAGTCTAAAACCAGTCATAAATTCTTAAAAACACTAACTAAAACACTTGTAAAAGAACAAAAACATAAAATCCATCCTGCTTTTAATTTCTATGTAGATCTATGCTTATTTTTTAATTTTCATATCATATGTACTCATTTTCATCTTTTTTACTTGTCAAGGTAGAGAAAAGCAGCTTAGATTCCCCTCCTGAATTTCATGGTCCTGGATATTATAATATGGAAAACAGGATAGACTCAGTTACTCCTTTACTTCATCGATTCCCATATTCTATTGTATGGACTCCTATCCCCTTGTTAACGTATGCTGTCATATGTACTAACATCACTACTAATTGAAGATGGTTTTTTCCTTTTATTGGACATATGGGAATCGCTAATTCATATGGTGTTATATATGATTTTGCAGGCCCTTATACTATTGGGGTAAATTTTAGTTCCCTGTTGTATTAACTTTAACACCTCTATAGGAGGACCAAATGGCTTTTGGATGGCCAACGATGTATGTTTCACGACAATACAGCCTGATCTTCAATTTCCTTAGGTATTACCAACCCCATGCTAAACTGATTGGTAGTCGGGAAGTCTGGGACAATGGGATCTCTGAAGCAAATGAAGTTTATAAAGGACGAGTGGTATGTTGTTATGATTTTTCTAAAAACGTCTAGCTATAGTGTATCGTATTAAGTTACTATGCTATAGCTTATTGGTCTAAGCACACGATTTTCAGCAGTCGAGTCTCAAGTTTTGGTGTCAGTTTATCTTTCGGAAGGTATCTCTGGCTTTCACACAAATGCCTGACGTAAAAGAACGTATTCTGAGTTGTCGAGTTGTGTAAAAATCTACTTTTATACATCTAACCTGTTGCTTTATGAGGTTGAAGCGCTCAGATACGATTAGGAGGTCTTAAATAACTCAGATTTTATCTTCTTGTAATGAGTTATGTTTCTCATGGCTTAAGTGTGTGAGTATATATTTGTTTACTTGAATATATAAATATTGGTACTAGGGGCTACGAACACATATGCACCACACAAGTATTATCGAGGAATTCACTCACAGACAATATGATGACAACTGTTGGATTAAATGACGTCCTGAACAACAACAATCATTGTTTATTTGAACACTTCGGTACATATGTACCACACAAATCACTTGATACGTATGTGGGCTTTAATACTGCCCCGGTGCCCAAACAGAAGCAGGTAGTTTTCTTAGGGGGCCACACCCAGAGCCTGAAGGTCTGATCTAAAAGACAGTGGAACAACGTAAGGCGGTGCAGTCTCATGGTAGTCGGTCACCAACAATTGGTTCATACGTCATTTGTTCCCTGAGGATTCTGGAGACAGCCCATGCGCACCATTGGTTTGGAATCAGGGTTTTCCAACTCCTCTAGGTAGACTCTCCTTGTTCACCAACCCTGTTAAAGCTCCGAACATTCGCTTTTCGTCCTCTCAATTTCGTAAACAACGGTAATATCGCGAGAAGGTAGTGAGTAGGACTTCCCTGACAGTGGCTGTATACGCGTGGCCATGTGAAGACATTTCGAGAGGGAGAGCGAACTCACTCCACCCTCGACCTTACCAGGGCATTTGGGGGCTAAAGTCAATTCCTTGGTTGGGAATTGAAACCGAGTCTTCCATGTGTGAATATAGCATAACACTTACTTCGAAACTATGCAAAAGGATTTAAATCTGTCTCTTCTTTTGCATGGGGTTAGGCGATGTTTAATTTTTTCAATGAAGAACATTAAGGATACTTTTGTCGCTTATTATAAAATACTCATTCGTACCTCTACTTGTGATATTGATTATTTTGCCTAAAATATAGTCAGGAGTCAAATACATAAACTTTCACTTGAGTAATGATTTACAGCAACATTAATAATATGTGAGTACACAGAAAACCAGATATTTTGTGTCCTGGTTTTCACATAGTGTATTCATATATTTTTCTAAAAATCAGTAGATTATTGTCATTATGATCTAATCTTTCTAGTGTCATATGTGAAAGACTCTTATAAATCATAATTTAGCAAAGCCTTCAATATCAAATGTTTTTCTTACGAAATTCATTATTCTTATTTCCTTTAGCATAACCTTTTTTGTGATAATTGCCATAGTCATGTGGCATATGCTTTCAACAAAATGCGATTTCAAGATAAGGAGAATTGGAATATGTTCAGTGTTTCTGTATTATTATTCTTTCACGGAAAGTATGTTAGGTAAGCTTTTTTTTCATCATAAGAAAAAAGTATTTTCATTTACTTTATCATTGGTTTACATGATTGACTCACAAAATATATGGATCTCTTAAGTTTTATTCCTGATTCATATTCAGTCCCTCATATATTGAAAATATTAATATTTTAACTTATAATTTTGTATATTTTCTGTGCAAATATGACATTTAACTGCTTCAATTCAACATATTAGGGCGTTATTCACAGTTTCATACATACATTAGTCGATTACGTAGACTAATTCAGAGTATTTTATTAATTTGAAGTATTGCAATTTACTTGAAATATTTCTTAAAGGAATCTCCATCTATAAATATATAAGATAATATTATATTTTTGGCGGGGATGCTTTGGAAGATGCAAAAACCTTTACATATCTGGGCAGCATTATTGATGAACACGGTGGATCTAATGCAGATGTGAAGGTGCGGATTGGCAAAACAAGAGCAGCATATCTACAACTGAAGAACACCTGGAACTCAGAACAACTGTCAACCAACACCAAGGTCAGAATTTTCAATACAAATATCAAGACAGTTCTACCTGGAGAACTACGAAAGCGATCATCCAGAAAATACAAGTGTTTATTAACAGTTGTCTGCACAAACAATACTTTGGATCCGTTGTTCAGACACTATCAGCAACAAATTACTGTGGGAGAGAACAAACCAGATCCCAGCGGAGGAAGAAGCACTGGAAGTAGATAAGACACACATTGAGGAAAGTACCGAACTGCGTCACAAGGCAAGCCCTCACTTGGAATCGTCAAGGTGAAAGGAGAAGAGGAAGACCAAGGAAGACATTGCGTCGAGAAATGGAAAGAGACATGAGAACAATGAGCAACAACTATATAGAACTAGAGAGGGTAGTCCAGTACATATTGTGTTGTAGAATGCTGGTCGACGGCCTATTTTCCATTGGGAGTATGAGGCGTAAGTACTTGCTGACTGACTTACGCCTGTTACTCCCAATGGAGCATAGGCGTAAGTAAGTAAGTATATTTTTACCCAATCTATGAAAAGTACTCAACTGTCAGTATGGCTTTAAATAAATAGTATGTGGATTTAACAGAGAATTAGACAATAAATTAATTTATCCGGATGCATCACCTAATAAATAATTTTATGTTACGCATATCCATCAAAAATTGTAAAGAATAATATACTTTTCATGGTACTGAATAGAATATTATCATAATCAGTATTCATTATGCTGGATTTTAAGATCTCATAAAGTATAGTATTGTTGTGACAAATCTAGTTTGTTTTTTAAAAAAAGTCTTTTTTAAAAATCAGAAGTTCTCTTTTGACTGAAACTAGAAATCTACAAACTGAAAGCGAATTATTGCATATACTATTATTGTTACGAAAGTAGAGATTATATTTTTATTTAAATTCACTTGATATTGTTTTACTTGTATCTTCCCATTGTTATTTAGGACTGAGATTGATCAGTCTCATGTTGGCATATGTAAATCCTGTGCGGATTGCCTCGATATAGCTTTAAGTCACAAACTTTTTTAAGCAAAGATGGATAGTGGCTAGCAGTGGAATCCAGTTTGACACGCGTTTCGTCCTATTTGAGATTCGTTGTCGTTGCTTAAAAAGCTTGTGACTTAAGGCTCTATCGAGGCAATCCGCACAGGATGCATGTATGCCAACATGAGACTGATCAATCGCAGTCCTAAATAACAATCGGAAGATACAAGTAAAGCAACATCAATTGAACTTAAGCTTCGCCCCATCGCACAAGCAGGTGGTTATTAGGACTCAGTAGCTAAGTGGATAACGCAATGGCGTTTGAAGCGCACAGTACTGTGTTCGAGTCCCAGAGTGAACGTCAATTCCGAGACGCAAGTATATTCAGCTGACAAGTCCCCAATATGAAGAAACGCGCACCCTTTATTCTACTGCTAGTCACAATCCATCTTTGCTTGAAAAATATTTTTGTTCAGCTTAAAACAATTTTTGACCTTTATAGTTGAAGCACTGAATATTCACCTGTAGATTTATAGTTCTGAATCTAGCACAGCTGCGTAGTTGTGTTATTAAAATTCTTACAGTAAAATATGTAAACGTTTACTAGGTTGTGGAGTTAAATTAGTTAGATTTTAACAGATAAAACAGTGATCAGTATGAAAATTAGAGTAGTTCTTACTTAGATGAGAAAGGAACTGTTGAATACTTTTTGTTTTTCTGGTGATATACTAGTTATTATCAACTTGTCTGTCAGTCAGTGAGCTACAACGTAAGACCAGGCACGTATATGCATCGGTCCAAGTGGTTATACCTCATTAGCACAACAAGATGAACACTAGATTCATAGTAGTTAATTCAGTGGTGGTAATATGTAAAAGAAAGATTGCATATAAGGATATAGCACAGGAAGAAAGAATTAGTTCACAGAAAGATATGAAGCGATTTTAATCTCATAGTTTAATGGAAAGCAGAGGGTGTATACATCTACGACATTGTGATCCATGGCACACAGTCTCCAACCATTGGTTAAGATAGTCACGCGGACCCCAACCAAGTATTCTCCATCTACAATGTTGCTCAGATTAGAATTTAGTGACTTCTAGCACTGATGACACGTTTTGGTTTGACCGACGCTGACTTTCTTCCAACCGTCTCCAACACTGATCAGCATTGCGCATCGTATTTAGGCATACGTACCACGTGGTCCAACCACCTCAGTCGGTGAAGATTTACAACCTCATTGACTGATTTACTGTTATTCCCTAATACCCTACGTCTAACCTCATTATCACTTACCTGGTGATCCCAGTTTGTAAAGAAAAAAATGTATTAAAATGCTTAATCTATCAAATGATTTTTTCTTTCTTTTATTCATTAAACAGTTATGATAAAATTTCTTCGTTTTTTTTTCCTTATAGTAAACGTCACTGTTTTTCATCATGGTTTCCATTCATTCTTGTTTTATGTGTAATTTTGGCAATTATATCAATTATTTTGCATATCAGTTGAATCACTTATAACTATCATATACAAACCAATCAGACTGTATTTGACTGATCTAATTGAACTTTTTTTAGTTTAATCGTTTTTATTGTAAAATATATCATATATGTTTTCTAATGTAATGGATCATCACATTAACCTTTTCAGGTGATTTTAGAAGTCCTTCACACATAATTAATATCATGGTTACGAATATGTTTACTCGTTGAAATTATTTCTTTCCACCTTTTTTTTTGTTAAGACAGTTATTTTATTCATGCCAACTATTTTAACAAAACAAAAACAATTTTCCTTTTACATATATATGTCTATGTGACTGGAATTCTCTTTAAAAGGCTATGTTTTATGATATTGGTATGAAAATAATAATGATAATCATCATGTTTTTATTTTTAATTACTTCTAAACGTTTTAGGGGTTGTGGAATTGATTTGTGTTAGATGATAAATCAACTTGTTATTGCTTGCGTTAAGAACTTTGGTATTGGTTATTGCATCCAAATGCCTCGGTACGGCCGTAGGTGGGGAGAGTCAGCTCTCCAAACAATCTGGCTTCATTGAGAGGATAAGAAGTGAATGTTTGACGCTTTAACCAGGTTGGTAGATACGGAAGATCCGCGTAGGAGAGTTCGAAAACTCTGATTCCAAACCAATGGTGTACATGGGCTCCAAGATACTAAGGAAACAAATGGCGTATGAACCAATTGTTGGTCACCGACTACCATGAGATTGCATCTCTTGACGTTGTTCCACTGTCTTGTGGATCAGAATTGTAGGTTGAAGGCTCCGAGTGTTGGTTCCTAAGAAAACCATCTACTTCAGTTTAGGCACCCGGGCAGTATCACAGCCCACATACGTATCAAGTGACTTATGTGGCGCATATGTACCGATGTGTTCAAATAAATAATAATTGTTGTTATTAAGGACGTCTTTAATCCAACATTTGTCATCGTATTAAGTTTTTGAGTGAAATCTTCGATACTACCTGTAAAGAAAAATTGATTATTTTAGCTGGCTGACGAGTTTCATACAATAAATTACGTGGCATAGATCCCTCTTCTGCCAACTATAAAAAAAATATAACCTCAAGTATACTGTTTGTATTAAGTGATTGGAACCAATAATTGCATTTGGACTTCAATAACCATTACAGGTGGATTAATACAGTAATAATATTAGAATTGCATTCGGACAATTAGTAATTCAAGCAATCAACCACGTAGCAGTTCCGTTTACAAAATCAGTACTTCCAGTCACATGTCTACGATATACTTAAAAAATCTAAGTTATTCAGAAAAACGACTGATAACATGGTGATGAACCAATCATGGTGTAGTTACGTAATATGAAGTATAGGTTTGTATAGGATTGTCCTGTAAATTCATCACAGCATGTGTTATCTATTCACTTAGTTGCTAGTTTTGATGGAACTCAGCAACTAAGTTTAGGTTTAAGTAGTTTATCACCAATTAAACTAAAATGCCTTGTTTTCTGCCCACATTGAAAATTTATAAATTATAGAGAGTTAAATAACGTGTAATATTCATACACCTGATCTGTTTTGTTATTGTTTACTGATTCATGTAACTTATTTAATATATTTTGCTCGTCAGTGATATCTGTGTTCCAAAGAGACCATTATTTCAGGCTTAATCGAGTTATTTATAAATGAGATACCATATATACAACAGTTAAATTACTAGGAACAGTAAATTAAGTATGTACAATCATATTACTCATGCGATTTGTACAGTCGATCCTCTTGGTGATTTACTAAGACAAATGCTACTGGAACTAATAGAAATACCAGTATCCTAGTTCTTTCTGCATAATAAAAAATGATTTAAATGTCTGTGTGTTATGTTCAGTGGAATCGTTTGATCATATAACTAATTAGTTAAAAATCGAGTTGTTATACCGACCTGTCACAGCTTTACCGAGTTTTTTTTAAAGATTCTAGTCAGCGTTGTGCTTCTGTCTCAGATTCTGGATGATTACGAAATAACTTTTGACATCCCACTTTGATGAAAAACAAAGAGATTACCTTTTTTGTTTAGTTGAATAAAGAAAACCCTCACATATGTAGTTGAAAATGTAGTGGGCTTTCTAAGTATCGATTTAAATAGCTCTGAAACATTAGGATATAGAACAGTTCAATATCGGTTCAGATTACTACAATCACATGAGAAATTTTATAAAGGGAAATCAATGAAAACGAAATGGTCCTATTTACTGTTGTTTCTATATAGCAGAGTTCAAAATAATGGTTTGTCAGGCAGCAAAAAGGATCTGTTTGACTCGAAGCTGCAGAATTCAGATGTGCTTTTGATTACTGGTGTTCATTTTTGTTCGAGAACCAAACGGTTTCGAATGTGGATATGAACGGTAGGAAATTTCCTGTGATTGTATTAACAGATACTTGTTAGAATCAGTAGTATCAATATTTCGAAATGAGGCGATGGCATCTTTGGACATGGATTTTTTGTTGATATAAAAAGTTTAGTAAAATTGTTAAGAATGTAATTGTTATGTGCCGATAAACATAATGAATGGTAGCTTTTGGGATCCATTTATGAACCAATACTATACATATATTTTTATCGTATAATTGTTAAGTAACTAAACTATTCATATTCGTGTTTCTCTTATTATATAAGCTTTATTTCGACCTGTGAATTATTATTATACGATTTACCATTCTTCAGTTATGCCCAGTCCATCAATTAATATTTCCCACATTCACAGCCAATTTTGGCTAGATCTTGTACAAATGTTGTTTGATATTTTATGGTATGGTGTGGTCTGTCTGCTTGGCATATAAACCCAGTATACTTGAAAAACAAAATTCATATTGCAGAGGCTGCGATTGGTGTTCTGGACTTAATGGCTGGACTAGGCAGGAAGCAGGACCAATAAGGACTCTAGACTGTTTGTACGGGGTTTATGCGTCATTGGTCCTATCGATAATTCACTCCTCTCTAATTGGCGGTATCATTACGTTACACATTAGCAGGGCACTCAGACCACAAGTTATAACAGTAATCTAAACTGTTGTATAACAAAAATCTATTAATATCTAATCAAGTTTTTGCACGTAATGTATTATGGTCCTCAAATGCCCTGCTATGGCCGAAAGTGAGGAGAGTCAGCTCTCCCTCTCCAAATACTCTCACGTGGCCACGTGCATACAACGACTGCCAGAGAAGTTTTACTCACTGCCTTCTCGCGGCATTACTGTTGTTTATGAAATTGAGAGGACGAAAAGCGAATGTCCTGCACTTTAGGCGGGTTAGTGGATACAGAAGGTTCACCTATGGGAGTTGGCGAACCCTGGTTCTAAACCAGCCCTGGAAGATCCTGAGGGAACAAATGGCGTATAACCAATTAGTGGTCACCGGCTACCATGGGACTGTATCTTTTGGCGTTGTTCTACTACCTTATGGATTAGACCCCCAAGTCAAACGTTCGGGGTGTGGCCTTTTGAGAAAACCGCCGGTTTCGGTTTGGGCACCCGGGCAGTATCCTAGCGTTCGTACAAATCGGATGGTTTACGTGGTGCATATCTATATCGTACCTTCTTGCACCAACATTTATGTGTTTAAATAGTAGTAATAATAATAGTAATAATTTCACACATAGAGAGAATTTTCTTCAGTTTCAGTGAAAATCTGTTATGAGTCGCTTATTTTGCATCACAAACTAACCTTAGTTAGGCTACCAACGGAAATCAGATAGCATTGGATAGATTTGTAGTGACTCACATTTATCACGAGAACACGACTGGTTTAACAAAAACAATTATTATTATAACCAACTGTACCAGTGTTTGTTTTAATGTACTTTTGTTTGACTGTGCTAATGACAGCTATTTTGTGATTCCATTCTTATTCTTACACTTTGATTGTGACTTCGCGCGAATTCGGTTACGTTCTGCAACCAAGCTTGTATCCTGGCACGATCTCGGTATCCTTTCGATGCCACGAGATCGCCAGCGAATATATCTCGATTTGGTCCATTAATTGCCTTCTGATATTTGGCTTCTCGGGGATTTTATGGATTTATTTGGTTACGTTCAACCTTCGCCTTCTGATTTACTTGGCACGTGTTTCTTGGTAGCGGTGTTCATAGTTAGTCTCGAATCGACGCCACGTTACAGATTGCTGCTTCGTCCTAGGGTTGAAATGCACATTCCTATTAGGCATCGAACCTAGGATTTTCCAGACTTTGAGGAAGTGTTTAATCTCTAGATCAATGAGAGTCGGAATCCCAGTGGTTTACGTTTCTGAATCCAGTCAGTTTGTGTTATCTCACAACCGTCTTTAAATGACATTGGTGCGAATCCACTGGATACCGATTCCATTATTGATTTTTATATGGAATTTTGGTGAGACTATAATTTATAGGCAACCTTTATGCAACGTTCAAAAGACCTGGAGAGTGTCCAACTACATACTACGGCTGAGACCGGTCATAAGGGTGACAGCAAATTAGCATTTGTAGCGTTGTACAAAAGAATTCAAGGACGTATACTAAGGTCTATTGAAGCCTTGGTTATACGGAAACTGAGATCTTCTTTATACTTTCAAAAACACCATGTCCTCACACTTAACCTACCCTTGTAATCCTGCATAACCATCCAGAGTGGTTGTCACATTGTTTTTGTGTACATTACTATTTTTTTTCTTTGTTACGACTTGCGTTTAATTTGTTCAGTTGACCTTTTAATTTTCATATATAAATGTTCTTAACAACTACATTATGTGTGGTCAGATTGTTCGAAATATATTGTGCTAATATATCAACACATTAGTTCTGCTAAACTTCGTCTCATTATTGCATTATCGAAATTTATCAAAGGGACTTATTGTTTTAAATTTTTGAAATTACTAACTTCTATCTCTGAATCACCAATATCTATGCTAATTCCAATAGAAAATAATCATGAATTAGTCAGTAATATTGAGAATGAATCTTCCGAAAATATATTTGTAGATTGTTTTGCCGACATTAATTTCAATAACGTAAAAAAATGTATCATCAGAACAAAAGTTAATGTTCAATCAGAAAATACAAGCATAACCTTGTATGTGGATTGGTTGAAGTTAGACATTAACACCGTTGGATAACGGCCGGTTTAGTGGTCTAGTGGTTAGGCGCTTACGCCCGACTGATAGGTCCTGGGTTCGAGTCTTGTGAGGTGAGTTCGTGGATGCGCACTGCGGATGAGTCCCACAATAAGACAAAACGGTCGTCCATTGCTCTCAGGTTTTCTGTGGTGGTCTAGCTTCAATTAACTTGGGAATTCAAATATTCAATAACCTTGTATGTTTACAGAGTAAAATGTCCGAAATAAATTTATAGGTTAAAACTAATTATTTTC